CAACGCACCGCCCGCCCCCTCCGATACCGACATGCAGATCGTTGCGGCATTACAGGCTGCCCAGGCGTCGTTGAATAAGGTTTTCGAGTGTGCCTACTTGTTTTTTCTTCTTCTTATTCCTTCGCTGACGAAGGGATAGTATCAATCCGAACACTGCAAGCGCGGTGAAGGCGGCCAACTCTTCTATCGCTACGGCGTTGGCGAGCGCTCAGCAGGCAGTTGCGGTCAATTGTCAGACGACGTTGAATTGAGGCGGAATTGCGTTTCAACACGGTTTATTTTCAACACGGTTTATTTAGTACTTACTTAATACAGGAGCCTGAGGCCTGAGGTCCCACTGACTTGAAGACCATATACCGCTTATTTCTCACAGTGTGTTGAATAAAAAATATGAAAGTCTGAAACAAACTTTGTACTATACATGTAAGTTATGGGCTGTAAAAATGTTAGTAAAGGCAAATTTTGCTTCTCACTCACCTCAGGTGTGTGCAAATAATACTCCGTGATACTTTCGACCAAAAGTGGTTGGTCGGCGGTCCCGGAGCAGGCCCAAAAAATTCTGCAGGTTTAATTTGAAGCCGTTGTAGCACCTTAGACAGGTTCAGGAAGCATAATAAGTACCTCAGACATCAAAACCAAGTGGCAGTAGTCGTCCAAATGAGGTTCAGTAGGGAAGTCTGGAGAGCGCAGCCCGATGCCAGGGGTGGGAGACACCTAGTCCAGCTAAGACTGAAAAAGACTTTTCAACCCCCGTCCAATTTTCGAATCCCGACGTCCCCTTGAACAAAGCATCCTATGTTGTTCTAATGCCCTCGTGAGAATACACAGAAAAAAGAAGCCAGGTAGATAGGTACATAGGTAGCATTATACACAGTAAAGGACGCTCCTGGAACTTCCTGATCGGGCCCCCACACCTGCCGCAGTATGTGGCGCGAAGGTCGGGATGCACGTGTATGGGGGCAGATTGCGTGGTGCGGGAGCCCAGAGAAGGCTATGCGCGGAGAGTTTTAATTAAACAATAACCACGAGCCAGACTTTTCCGTGGATAAAGATACCCCGCCTCGTAAAAATAGGGAAAGTCAAAGTGGTCCAAACGACCGATGCTGAGACTGATTCAGGTCATGCATGAGTGTTTATTTTTTGCTCTTCAATCTCATTGAGACTTTGCAGATGCTTGAAGTCTACGCATAAAATGTGGTAGGGTTTAACCGTGTACGACATGGAGTTATGGTGGGTGCGCACCCACTTTATTGAGGGCCTTGCGTCGAAAATAAATTCAATTGGGAGGGATGTCCCTGTTGAATTTGAGGTCCGATCATGCATGGTATCCCGGATGGCGTTTACTTTATTTTTGTTTCTCAATCTCATTACAGCCATTTGCAGAACTTAGGGCGCGGGCTGTTTTTTTTTTTTCCCCTGCTTTTCAATGATAATCATTATTGTGAGCTCAGTTCTTGTCAGTTTGCCTTGTAAATATGCTCATTGTGTTCGCAATGCAAATGCGGAGGGCACCACGGTCCCCGTTTTTCCTGATGCGATCATAATTGCCTTATTGGGAAAATATCGGCCTTTTGTACAGAACTTGTCACATACTCTGTGTTATGGTCAGATTGACCTATAGATTTGAGACAACACACTTGTGAGTATTACGAAGGGCTAGAGATACCGGTATTTTATATATCACATCTATTTCTCATATACAAGGTATTCAGATATCTCTCACCATGGGAATGCAGATTACCGGTGAAATAAAGCACACATTCAAAATACCGGTATCTCTAGCCCTTCGTAATACTCACAAGTGTGTTGTCTCAAATTTATAGGTCAATCTGACCATAACACAGAGTATGCGACAAGTTCTGTACAAAAAGGCCGATATTTTCTCAATAAGGCAATTATGATCGCATCAGGAAAAACGGGGACCGTGGTGCCCTCCGCATTTGCATTGCAAACAAAATGAGCATATTTACAAGGCAAACTGACAAAAACTGAGCTCACAATAATGATTATCATTGAAAAGCGGGTAAAAACAAAAAAAAACAGTCCGCGCCCTAAGTTCTGCAAATGGCTGTAATACCCTGTAGGTGCTTGAAGTCCACACCTAAAATATGGTTCCTGCCTGGAGGGGAGGTGTATGGTGCACACCCACTTGACCAAAGGAATTTTATGTGGGGAATCCTTGTTCGACTCAAGGTCATGGAACGGAGCCGCAAATTGTTTTTATTATCATCATTCTGAATCCCATTTCCGCTTGAAGGCACTCAACATTACCTTCAAATGAGTCTTCAAATCTCATCGGTATCAGACCTGGAGGTGTATGGTGCGCCCACTTTCCCTGGGTTCATTTTGAAAGAGGAAATTATCTGGAGGTCCTTGTTCGATTCGGGTCAGAAGCTGCAAAATTATTTTGCTTATCATTCAAATTCCCATTCCCATTCGCGCCAGCGGAGATCGGGTTCTGAAGCCGATTGGAGAGAGAGCTAGTCATCTTAGGGTTTGTCATCTTCCATCTGAACACTATAACAGAGGACTTCTTTCTGTGACTATGGACACCTCAGCTGATGGTGGATAAAAAAAACGCCTTTGCAGTTCTGGCAATCTAGATGTTTGGTTTCATTACTAGCAGTGCTTATGGTTTAGTTTCTTTCTGGTTTTTGCTTATTCTAATAAGCTAATTTTTTTTTCACTTGGAAGTCGGAAACTTGAAATATAATTGTCAAATGCATAGTACAGATCAGATCATGGTAAACCTAGAGGTGGGGAATGTAATTGCTCCAAGTGACATCCATGAAAGCACTCGGGGGAAGTGATCGTAGTGTGGTGAAGGATAGGATGATGAGGAAGAGTCGGCAGAGGGGGTAGACCACAAATCCAAACACCATAACACTCCTGATGACAGTCCTAGCAATGTTGTTATAAGGAGCCCATACATTAATTGCTGCAAAAAGTATGGTAAGGACCGGATATGCTGCAATGAACGCAGAGCTTATTCTCCATATCCACATTTCTGACATGGATGTAAAGGGTGCATTCCATGCTGCACAATGAATGCTGCCAAGAATGCTGCCAACTCCACAGACCCCTGTAAAGTTTACAAGTGCGTGGGTGTCTTCGACACCTATTTCAATGGAATAGAAGGAGGGAACCAAAGTGGATGAGAGTGGAGAGTACTCATCATATTCCCCCGTCATTGCACCATCTAGCTTTTGCAGGAGAGCACGGAAGCCGTTGTTCATTGGGGCGATGTCCTCTTCTTGAAGTGGATCGATTCCAACTTCAGATCTAGCAACAACAATAGGCTGCTGCACATCAAGTGGTTTATGCAACCACAGCAGGCGAATAACAACACTGAGAACAGCGAAGGCCAGTGTGGCAACCTCAAGTTCGGTGAGGGGTAGGCGTTGAGAGACACGAGCTAAACACTGTGTCACAAACCACAGGCCCTGTGCAATGGCTACACCTTTGGAAAGGGTATCACCCTTGCTTTTGTCCTTGATATCTTCTTCGTTGATGGCCTGGATGGCTAGCATGTATGCCACAAGTTGTTTCATGTTTACAGTGGGATGATGTTCCTTGGTCACAAATCCTCCCATGTTGCAAAAGAATCCGTGTGTTTTTGAGACATCAAATTCTGTGGTAAGTTAGTATTGGATATAACACAGTGGTAGGGAACTTGCTTTTTGAGATCCACCGTGCCGAAACAAACTGTCTTGCAGCAAAAGCCACAACAAATTCGGGAGCAATTATCATCACAAGCATCATATGTAGCTTCCGCACCAGAAGTGAAAACCATCCCAAGTTGGGGTCCGGGACATTCTGGTGCAAAGCTACCCAAGTGCAGGCAAAGATTGTGACGAGACATCCCCAGACAATGTCAAACAATGTCCGACAGTTGTTGATTGTGCAATCACACGAGGCTTCTGCCGGTGCCCATGCAAGAAGGTTTGGGTGTCCCTGTGTGAGGCTTGATTGCCTGGTGAGGAGGAAGAAAAAAATCCAGAAGAGCATGGTGGAGGGATTGGAAAGTGTTCACAAGTCAGGCCAGACTTTAAGAATGGAAGTCCAGGACAAAGATCTGCAAGCTCGTTGCCAACGCCACTGTAGTATTTGTAGCTGTGATCTACGTTGTGATTTAACGCTGTCCTCGTAAAAATACATGGAAAAAAGAAGCTAGGAAAAGGTGCTGTGGAACTTCTCGACTGGCGCGGCTGCTGGCATCTGTTGATGAAACAGGATCTCTGTCGTAGTCTGTCGCGCTTCCCACGATCAGTGCCAGTGGATCAGGATGTCCCTGCGTGAGGACAGATTACCTGGCACAGCAGTCCAAGAGCGTGATGCACGGAGAGTTGAACAGTAACCACATCACCGAGGCTTCCTGCCCCCTGCCATGCATAACGTCGCCCATGATATCGTAACCTGGCACTAGCCGGAGGGATCGTTCAGCAACCGACTGGCAATGTTCAATAATGAGCTCGCAGGCAGCGTCAATGCTATAGAAGTCGGCAGTTCAATGCGCGCTGTGAGCTATCACTTTGTGATTAGCTCTAGACACCCTGTCACGCAGAACAAAAGGGCCTTTCAGAACAACGGGTCAAAGCATGATCACTGGCGCACTTGCACATTGGAAATCACTGATGGAAATCACTGGCGTACTTTTGGAGGTTAACGGCTAAATCACTGGCGCACTTTGGGAAGTTAACGGCGCACTCATTGAAACGGCGCACTCATTGACACTCGCATTCGAAAACATTGGCGCACTTCTGGAAGTTAAAGGCGCACTCACAGAAGTTAACGGCGCACTCATTGACACTCGCATTCGAAAACACTGGCACACTTCTGGAAGTTAAAGGCGCACTCACTTACTGGCGCACTCGAAGATTACAAGGGGCATGCCGGCAGTCAAAACCACTGGCGCACTTACAGATGGTTCAGAAAATAAAGGTGTGCTTTCGCAAATAAAAAGAGGTAGCTTCGTTCAAGGAACGAAGCTACCGCTTTAAAGGCCAGACCCGAGTCGAACGAGGGTAGCAGATCGAATACTGCCAATCAAATATCTGTGCACTAACCACTGTGCTATCTGGCCGCGATGACTTAAAACGAATCACACAGAACTATCAAACTGTAAAAGAGCACCGCGCACCCCGAAGTTGAGTGAACACTTTGCCAGGTTCCTCAAAGATTTGGTTCTTCGTTGGGGCTGGCCTTCCAAATGTACTGCAGATGGATACTTTTCTACACTCACTCAAAGGGTTGGTTCGCTCCGCAATGCGAATGCTGTTCCGTTCCGGAGTACTCAGATTATCTGTTATGCTTTATCCACCCGTCTCGAGCATAGTGGATGGCAGGTCTCTTCAGTACAGTGTAACACTATACGGATGGCTATAGTGATTCCCTTTGTAGCCTGGTTTCTCTGTTGGTGAACACCTTGAAACAGAGTTACTTCCGGTTCGAAGACTTGGGGGTAAAGTGTGCAAAATGAATGGGGGAAATGGTATGATCGTGTAGGATAGGCCCTCCATATACGATGGGGTGGGTTCCTCGCAAGGAATGTGTTCGAACTCCGAATAAGAACGGTTGCACAAAGCCAAGTTAGGCTACTGGCCGTTTGGTGGTGTGCCGCGTAATCTGCTACCGCATGCTTTCAACTCTGGATTGACTATATTTCCTCCGTATCAATTTATCGACACAGAGGTGAGATGGATGGGGTTCCTTGACAAGCCCTGGCCTTTAGGTGACCTTGGTTTGTCCTACTATTGGGCGGTACGGCCCGTAGCGGAGTGTATTCAATTTAAATCGCCACCCTGGTGTACTTCAGGGGGAGTAGCTTTAGGTATATGCAGTGGGAGGTAATAAGATGATTATCCTATATCATACAGCTGGCTTTTATACGGTTCTCTGTCCGATACTCGCGCGCGTAATAACTCCTTGTTTAGGAAACGGAGCCCTCCTCCGTTTCCATTCTGACTCGCCGCATCGATCTCCATGTGCTCCCTATGTTTGAAGGGGCTGACAGTTGATTCGGACTTGCCTCGTGCCAACTCTGTTTCCCGTTTGGTCACCCCATTTCCCAGAGCCCACTCCGTATGCCGGCCTGCCGTTGGTCCGTCTCTGTATTAAATTTAACTGTGCTTCCATTTCCCGTGTCCGAATTATAGGTGAACAAGTGCATCCCCAAATCACGGTTGAATGGTGCAGATAGTAGCACTCACGGTTAAATTAAGAATAGCTTCATGACCTACTTGCCGCAGGACCTCCGTTCAATTCAGGGTTCAGCCTTCCCACAATCTGTCTATAACTTTTTATGTGTTAGCTTCCTGTTTTGCTACTTGAATCACGGCTGGGTGATGCAATAACATGCACAATCCACTTAAATCTCCCAAGTTCTCATTTGCGAGTTCCTCGTTCCATTCGGGGTCTGGCCTTGGGCGCGAAAGTCGGGTTTTTATTTTGAAACAGGATTTGTGTTTCTTTTGGATTCGGAATTGTGAAGCCATGGCCTGGTGGTGTAATGGTTAACACACGTGAAATAGATAACCGCGTAGATTGGCTTCTTCACGAGTTCTCTGTTTGATTCGGAGTCTGGCCGTTCACTTAGTCCAATGAGCTTTTTAATTCAGGTCCATATCATCTTTGTCCGTTTGTCGAGGCTCTCCATCCATATAATCATGACCAGGGGGCGTAGTGGCAACGCACACAGGACGAGTCCCCGCTCAACAATATTTCCCTGCGAGTTCTTCATTCGATTTGGAATCTGGCTGTTTGTTTAACCCAGTGACTTTTAATTCGGAGGTATTCTTGGATAAGGAGTCGCAATCGTGAAAGCTTGTTTTTCCTCCTGTTTGGCTATGTTCGGAGCGCATCACAAAGTGACAGCTCACAGTGCCCTATACAAAGCAAGGAGATACGAAAACACCACATCACCCGGGTTTACTGAGCAGGAGCGTACTTCCCATCGCGGAGCGCCAATCCTTTGCACGAGTGTAGAAGAATCTCCCATCACGTCTTTCTCGGAAGGCTAGCCCCCAACAAGAGACCAAACTCTCAAGGAACCTAGCACCTTTCTCGAAATCTGCTACTTGCAGAGGAGAAATCTGTATTAACCACCACCACCACATAAAAATATCACTCCGTAGAAGTAAAGAGCACCAATAGCCGATTATTTCCCCCTAGACCACAAATAAAACTATTGTATTTCGGTTTGACCGTAATTCTACAGGCAGATTTGAGTACAATAACCGCAGTCCACATCACAACGCGTCGGGGCACGTCAAGACGTGCTGATGATGGCAAGTTACAATGTCACACTTCTACCAGACTTCTACCGACGGTTTACTCTCCTTCTACCAGGTGCATTTCTACTTCTACCGGGGGCACTTCTACTTTTACTAACCCACTTCTACTTCTACAAATTCTGTATATACTCATCTTGACCAAAGGAATTTTATGTGGGAGTCCCCGTTCGATTCGGGGTTGGGTCATGGAGGTGCAAATTTATTTTATCATTAATCCCATTGGCACCCAAAGTCACCTTCAATTCTCATTGGTACAAGGCCTGAAGGTGTGTTATGCACACCCACCTTCTTTAGGTTAACTTTGGAAGAGGGGGAAAATTTATGCGGGAGCTCCTCGTTCAATTCGGGGTCAGAAGCCAGCTTGTCTTCCGTAGTGTGCGCTCGTAAATCATTTTTATTACATATTATTTTGAATTTCACTTCGGCAAGGCAATCAAAGTCCAACATAAGATGAGCCTTCAAATCTCATCATTATCAGACCTGAGGTGTATGGTGCACGCCCACTTTGCGTGGGTTATTTTGAGAGAGGAAATTATCTGGAGGTCCTTGGTCAATTCGGGGTCAGAAGCTGCAAAAAAAAAACTTATCATTTACAGCCATTTGCAGAACTTAGGGCGCGGACTGTTTTTTTTGTTTTTACCCGCTTTTCAATGATAATCATTATTGTGAGCTCAGTTTTTGTCAGTTTGCCTTGTAAATATGCTCATTTTGTTTGCAATGCAAATGCGGAGGGCACCACGGTCCCCGTTTTTCCTGATGCGATCATAATTGCCTTATTGGGAAAATATCGGCCTTTTTGTACAGAACTTGTCGCATACTCTGTGTTATGGTCAGATTGACCTATAAATTTGAGACAACACACTTGTGAGTATTACGAAGGGCTAGAGATACCGGTATTTTGAATGTGTGCTTTATTTCACCGGTAATCTGCATTCCCATGGTGAGAGATATCTGAATACCTTGTATATGAGAAATAGATGTGATATATAAAATACCGGTATCTCTAGCCCTTCGTAATACTCACAAGTGTGTTGTCTCAAATCTATAGGTCAATCTGACCATAACACAGAGTATGTGACAAGTTCTGTACAAAAGGCCGATATTTTCCCAATAAGGCAATTATGATCGCATCAGGAAAAACGGGGACCGTGGTGCCCTCCGCATTTGCATTGCGAACACAATGAGCATATTTACAAGGCAAACTGACAAGAACTGAGCTCACAATAATGATTATCATTGAAAAGCAGGGGAAAAAAAAAAAAACAGCCCGCGCCCTAAGTTCTGCAAATGGCTGTAAATTCTCATTCCCAGTCGCGCTAGGACGGAGATCGGGTTCCACAGCTGATTGGAGAGAGAGATCCAGTCGTCTCAAGGTTTGTCCTGATCATCTCCCACCTGAACACTAACAGAGGACTTCTTTCTGTGACGATGCACACCTCAGCTGATGGTGGACAAAAAAAATGACCTTGCAGTTCCGGCAATCTAGATGGTTAGTTTCGTTTCATTTCTAGCAGTGCTTAAGGTTTAGTTTCTTTCTGTTTTTCATTATTATTCCAAGCCAATTTTGTTTTTTTCACTTGGCAGTTAGAAACTTGAAATATAACTGCAAATGCATAGTACAGATCAGATCATGGTAAAGCTAGAGGTGGGGAATGTAATTGCTCCAATTGACATCCACAAAAGTGCTTTGGGGAAGTGATCACAATGTAGTGAAGGATAGGATGATGAGGAAGAGTCGGCAGAGGGGGTACACCACAAATCCAAACAGCATAAAACTCACGAGGACAGCTGCAGCAATGTCGTTATCCTGAGCCCATGCACCAAGTGGTATCATAAGCAGTATGGTGAGGACCGGATATGCTGCAATGAACACAGAGCTTATTCTCCACATCCACATTTCTGCCATGGATGGAAAGAGTGCATTCCATGCTGCACAATGAATGCTGCCAAAAATGCTGCCAACACCATAGACCCCTGCCAAGTTTACGAGTGTGTGGGTGCCTTTGGTACCCATTTCAATGGAATAGAAGGAGGGAACTGAAGTGGATGAGAATGGAGGGTACTTGTTATGTTGCCCCCGATTGCACCGGCCAGCTTTCGCCAGAGAGTGTGGAACCTATTCTTTATTGGGGTGATGCCCTCTTCTTGAAGTGGATCAATTTCAACTTCAGATCTAGCAACAACGATGGGCTGCTGCACATCAAGTGGTTTGTGCAACCACAGTAGGCGAATAATAACACTGGGAACAGCAAAGGCTAGTGTGGCAACCTCCAGTTCGGTGAGGGGTAGGTGTTGAGAGATACAAGCTAAACACTGTGTCACAAACCACAGGCCCTGTGCAATGGCTACACCTTTGGAAAGTGCATCACCCTTGCTTTTGTCCTCTATATCTGCCTTCTTGATTTTTCAGATGGCTAGCATGTAGGCAGGAAGTTGCTTGATGCTTGAAACTGGGTGACCTTCTTCAGACACAAATCCTCCCATGGTGCAAAAGAATCCATGCGTTTTTGAGACATAAACTCTGTGGAAAATTAGTCTTTGACATAACACGATGGTGGGTAACCTTGCCTTTTGAGATCCGCCGTGCCGAAAGAAGCTGTCTTGCAGCAAAACCCACAACAAATTCGGGAGTAATTATTGTCACAAGCATCATGCGTAGCGTCCGCATCAGAAGGGCAAAGTGCCCCAAGTGCGGGCCCGGGACATTCTGGTGCAAAGCTACCCAGGTGCAGGCAAAGATTGTGGCGAGACATCCCCAGACGATGTCAAACAATGTCCGACAGCTGTTGCT